TTTGTTGATATTACAGGCATGGGGTTCAATTTTTAAGCTCCCGCACAGGGGTATTAAACTCTCCCTTTCCAGAGAAAGCGCACTCTGTCCCCATCCCTCATGTTATCTCTCCTGCCTCTGGCTTAGGGTTCACTCTGGGGGAAGTGCCACTTGAGGGATTCCTTTTTTGTGTGTGGCTTCTGAACTGGACGCCGGTCCCTGCTCACAGCTGCTGCTTCTCAGGGTGGTCCCTGAGGCCGGGGTGTGGCCTCTGAGAAGAACCTTCAGGGCCAGCAAGCAGAGATGGGGTGTGTGGTTAGTGTGTGTGGTTTGTTGATTTGTCCTGACTGTGTTTTGTTGTGTTACGTTTATCTGTAGACCTAGATTGGATTGTGTTTGTGATGTGGTTGTTCTCGCTTTGTTGTGTCCTGTGTGATGTGCTGTGTTTTGTTGTTGTGTCACTTTCAAAGGCCAAGGCAGGAGGATCACTTGGGCCCATGAGTTTAAGACCAACCTGGGCAATATAGTGAGACCCTGTCTCTATAAAAAAATTTTCAAAAACATTAGCCAAGCATGGTGGCACGTGCCCGTAGTCCCACCTACTCAGGAGGCTGAGGTGGGAGCATCACTTGAGGCTAGAAGGTGGAGGCTGCTGTGAGCCAAGATCATGCCATTGCACTCCAGCCTGGGCAACAGAGCAAGACCCTGGCTGTACTAACCAACCAAGTAACTGGAAACACAGAAACATGTTAAGCAGGAGACATTCTTCCCTTTCCTTCAAAAAACAGCCATCACCGGGCCCCTCTCCCCTTAAAAACCCAGAACAGGCAGAAGCAGCTAACAAGCAACCCAGAGTCCAGGTAAACAGAGACAGAGAAGCTGTCCACACATCAGGCGGCTGCCCCTCAAAGCCCCCCTGGAACCACGGCCCACATGTCAGCCCACCTTGCCCTTGCACACCAGGTTTCGGATGTGGGTCCACAGGGCAGTGCCGCGAGCACACCGGTACTTTTCAGCAGAAGCTGCCCGGCTCCGGCCCGCCCGGCCGGGATGGAAGTACTGAAGGAGGCCCTGCATTGCGGCTGGGGCGGGTGTCGACTCTCGCATGCTTGACCTTGCTGCTCTGGGAAGCTGGTGGGGCTAAACGAGAGCTTCCAGCCTCCACGGCCTTTTGACCAGGCTTTGAGGGAAACCCCGCCCCACAGTCCGGCGGGCCAAGGTCAAAGCTTCCCATCACCCCGGGTTCCACTTTTTTGTCTGTGTGTGGGAAGAACATCCTCCCACCCCAGCCTATCGGTTACGGGAATTTCCAACGTGTCTCCATCTTTAAAGCCCAGAAAAGCTGAGCTTCCTTGTTAAGTGGCTAGTTTCCTGTTGCCCAAGTTTGGAGACTGAGTAAAGTATGACTGCTCAGCCTGCCTTGTGCTGGAAGCGCTCTAGACTGTCCAGAATCTGTACCACTCCCAGCACGTAACCCCAATAATCACATGCAGTGCCCCTGATGGACCCAGGGCGGAGGACACCCTGCTCCAGTCCTGCTCCCCCAGACTAAGCTGGCCGAGCAATGTGCAGCCTGGGCGGGGCTCCAGCCAGCGTCCACTCCCCAGCACTAGTGCTGTCCAGCGCCCACCCCAACCTGGCACTGATGCTGCCAGCTGGGCTCTTTACTGGGTCCCTCTCTGTGACTCCCAGTGACTGAAGACCAGGTTGTTGGCCTCCGGGCACCAGCTCTCACGGCGGTCCTGACTGGCGGCTCCAGTGGGAAAGGCCGCCCCGAGGCTGGCTCTGTTCCAAAGAACTGAGTGTGCTCCGCAGAGCGGAAGTCGTATAAAGAATAGCATGATAATGAGGCCTGTGCCTCAGCTTGGCCAAC